CTCAGAAACATACGCTGTTCTATACACATTTTGAATGAAAAATACCTTGAAATATGTGATACATTAATTATTCAATTCAATCTTTTAGTTAATTACATCAGAAATGATCAATATTTGAATTTGACAAGAAATTTATGAAGCCTACTTACACAAAATAATGTGAAGTAATTTTTTGGGAATTTCTTATAATTCATCGGTAATTTATATCTTAACATAATATTATCATCAGTATGGAATTGTGACGACTGTTAAATTTCATTGAAATCACGATTTGATTTAAGTTAAACAGCCACTGAAAACCTGGAAGCACTGAATGTGCTTCCAATGGAATTCAACAATCTTCACATTCACATATAGACAATTATAGTGTGCTCACTATTGCCTAACATCGAGAGGGAATTTTAGGAGTATCCTTGAAAAGCTGTCACCGGTAGAGCTGAACGATTTAGGATGTGGACAAGGTACCCACCGAATAAAATTGAAGATCGCGAGAAAATGTCTTGAATTGATTTATATTAGGCTCGAATACCACTGAACACTAGCTCGATGATTAACAGATTAGGCGTTCATGTGAGAGACTACAGGGCCTAAGCTCAGTTCCAAACTGCAGGGCCATTGATATGCACTGTTAAGGAGTCTCATACTAGAAAGAAACGACCATTTAGTATTTTCAGGTTTCTAGTGTTGTCTAACTTAGATCGATTTGTGATTTAAATAGTGAGTTTAGTTGAAAAATCGGTAGAAATCAAGGAGCATTGAATAGTAGTTTTGTATTAGTGACTTTTCAGAAGTAATCACCACAAACCATATAACTTAAATATTTTGCACGTAAATCCGTTCAGGATTGTTGTCTAGCACTGTTAAATGATCTCGAAATAATATGAAATAACCAAGTTTTTCTTCTTAGATTTCCGTGACTCTACAGAAGATACAATTTTATCATGAAAATATTTGTACAAATTATTTTTCCTATCATAAATACGATATCAAATATGAATATAAAGGAGTGAAGTTAAAAATGCAGATAAACACGTACATATCCGATAACATTTTTTTATATGTTACCTTAATTATTCACTGGAATTAAGAAACACACTCTCTGACAGCACTGATTCGGCATGCAAAATTGAGTAAATGGTATCATACACTGCAAAAACTACAGCTAACACTTGGATCTTAACAGTTCAAATGATTGATTAATACCACCATTCCAAACCAAGTCCAGTAAAGGCGTTTCTTGCTAGTATACAACTTATCGGCAGTACGTATCCACGAACTTGTTAGAGGTCAAATACAAAACCATCGGTCTTACATGTGCACACTTAACCTTCAGATAACCTGTACGACACCCAGTGGTTCAAATCAGTGACTTTAATTTCTAATGGCGCAAAATCATCTTCTAAAGCGATTAATGAGTAACTACTTCAAATTCAACATGAATGGAGTGCACTAGTAATGGATTCTCAAACAAATTCCAGAAATTGCAGTCTGTAGATAGTTATTGGTGCTAGTCGCTAGTACTTTCTAACTTTCACTGGTTATCCATCTAATATCACTTTCCGATTTAAGCTGGGAGAATTCTCTAGCCTCCACAAACCTGCTGTAGGAATGACTACATTTTTTCAGTCAAACATCCGTTTATTTGGCTACCGTTGAACTACAAACGTTTGAGTACCTTCATAAAAATATTGAAAATCATTAATATCCAAGCCTAATAATAGTAGTCATTATTAACAAACCGATCAATTAAAAATTCACTGATTAGTTCATTAGTTTATTTTATAAACACACACAGTAGACATAGTTCCGACATTCGCTTATTCACATACCTAATATTATAAAAAATATTTATACTGTTATTTCAATGAATATTCCAGACTACTTCTTATTTTACTTTATAGAAAACAAAATATGACTAATTAATATTTATAAGGCTAAAAGTAGGATATTATCTTAAGGAGGCTAATCGTTCAAAGTTTCACTTTAAAAGTACACTTTATCACTCAAGTGAGGGTTATTAAGAAGAACAAACGAAAAATGATTACTTAAATGTGATTTTAGAAATTTAAACAAGTTTGAAATGGATAGAACTAATGTGAGAGATTTACAGCTAAATAAAACTATGCAAGAGTAAGTTGTTTGTGATAATCAAAAACTGTATCATAACTGTCAATTTTAGAAAATTTATTTTTACCGTCTAGATTTGAGGGAAGTCAAAAAACTACAACCGAAATCTGACAGAGATGTATGGACATACAATCAATGTAGACTGTTTGAACGCTTTCAGACAGATAAATTGTTGTATCCCGTGGGAAATTATGAATGCTAACTTTGTGAACTATTTATGCACCAATGTGATATGTATATTTCCTATTGTATGATTGTTAAGTGACTAAACCATTTTTATCCGTGTCTTTCTTATTATAAGCTTTATTTTGACTTATGAACTAGTACTATACGGTTTACCATTCTTGAGCTATCCCCAGTCTACTGATTACTATTTCCCTTATTCACAGTCACTTTTGGCTAAATCTTGTACAAATGTTATTTCTTATTTTATGGTATGATGTGGTCTGTTTGATTAGTATATAAACCCGGAATGTTTGTGAATAATGATTCATATTGCAGAGGCTGATATTGGTGTTCGGGACTCAACTGGTTGGGCTAGGCAGAGAGCAGGACCGAGTAGTGCTCAAGACTGCTCATACGGCTTTTGTGTATCATAGCTCTGATCAATAATTCACAGTCCTCTGATTGGCGGGGACCAGGACGTTCATATTTCAAACAGGGCACGCACGCACTCACTCGTCATAACATAAATATTAGTGAATTAATGGTGTTCGCTAGAAAGCTGGATGATGTAGATATAAACCTCACAGCCAGCACCAGTTCCTACAATCACCAGAGATGCGCCTACAATAAATCCAGACCCAAGGTTTTCTACTGATCATCTCTAATAACTTAACTTCTTAGCATAATACATGTGATCCCAAGGAACTTAGACACTAACGCTGACCTTATAACTTGACTATCAGAGTTTGATCAGCACTAAACGACCAAATAAACACTACATTGGGCACTATTCAGTGGTCAATCGATCAGTAACAACTAAAACTCCATAATTAAAATAATCAATTATTTCATTAAATAAAAAAACAACTTCAACGGAGAAAATTTTATGGTTTAAAGTTGCAAAACACTTATTTAAAAACAAAAATAGGAAAAACAAACCGAAACATACTACAGAAGGAAATCAGGGTCAGGGAAGGATGAAAGATTAGACGTATTGTTTTAGTGCGCAGAGTTGGATAATCTCAAATAGCAAAACTAACCGAATAAGTGGTGACATACTAAAACCTGTGAGCTTCATACCTACTATACGATTTAAACTTAAGATATCCTAGTCTGTTTGAAACGTTTTTCCTAGTTTTTGGATATTTTGTTAGTTATTTCAACTCTCGTTATTCACCCTCAAAAGATATTTGTTTCTTATAAATCAGGAAACATTCTTTTGAAAAATAAGGTTTCAGGGGTTATTAATACCTTAATAAGTTGATCAACCGTAAAAATTTAGATCCACATCAAATAACATTTTTGCTGACAAGATTATTGGTTGTTTAATGTGAACTAGTAGTCTAATTCTCAATAAAGAAACAATATAAGATCAAAATTATCTGTTATACAATCGGCTATGAAAACGCAACAAAAAATAACACGGAAAATCTTGTGTTAACACAGCTAAAAGCATACAATACAAATGGCTTTTATTACTGTCTTCTGCTTTTAAAACAGTGCAACTTTCGTTCAACGGGAGAATTCAGCAAGCGAAACTGAAACAGGTCGTGTTTCGATTTAAAGAAAGCCATTCTTTACATTACGAAATTAAAGGATATGCAACACATGACTGGATAATCATATCAGAATGTTTGCCCGCCATTAACTTTCTACTCAAGAACATCTTTACGTACATTTCAAAGTAAAAGAATTTAGAATGGAACTACACTTGCTTTCTACCTTAGCTAACAATCCTTTGAGCAACTTTCAATTCATCAAAATCATTTTTTTTAAATGTTATAGCATTTTCTGCTGCATGAATGTTATCAAAACCTATAAAAAGAGGAAGCAAGCACAAATGAGCTATTTGTTGATGCCGACGCTTCGATGATGAAAAGGATTATGCGATTCATCTTTTTACTCGGTGTAGTTAATTTTGTGCAAGTACTGTTTGAAGTATTAAATAATGATCGCATTAAAATCTAACTGCTTCTAATGTATTGTTTGTTAGTTAACATATTAGCATTCTGACAACTGTTTTGAAATACGATTTTCGAACTGTACTATACTTAATAATACATAAATCCGAGTTTTTATGAATAAAATGATATGTAGGCAAATTAAAGATGTGTAGACAAAACATATTTTACATTTTAGATATATTTCGGACTTGTAATCACCAAATACATAACATCTAATTGAGTCAAAAGTTTTACCTGTGATTTTACTTGAAATAGTATAATACTCTAAACATTAGATGATACACGGGCTAATATGCATTGTAAAACAATAAATAAAATGACTCTAAATAACTTCGTAACTATTTTATGAAATATTAATTAACAGTTCTGCCAAGATGTACAAATCAGATATATGAAACGCATACTTGAAAACTAAGACTGACACGTCATTTCTGAAAATGGATAAATTGGGTTCTCAGGAACTCCTAGTTAAATATGGGCTATGAAAATACACCGTCGAAGACAAGATATCATAAGGTCACTATATGTATTACTCATATCAAATAGAATAAACGTTTCTTGTGAGGTATCTAGAACCCCATATTTAAATAACTCTTTATTTCTTTCGATTAGTAAAAAACTGAAGAAATAAAATTGGACCATATCATCAATCTTACGTTTGATATATAATATTTACCGTCGTTAATCGGGATATTTAAAAAACATCATGCGGAAGAGCTCACTAAAAACTAAATTTAAACTTACAATAAGTGTCATAGGCCCCGAAAATTTGTAAATCGCATTTGTTAGATGAATACAATAGAAAAACAATGAAATCAATGTAGTCAAGATTGCAACGAAGAATAACCATCCTCCAGGACCAGGAATCACGTAATTAGGAGAAACAGCAACAAGAATGATTAGTATAATATTGAGAATAATCTCAACTATCTTGAAAATTGCTGGTATTGTACTTGCGTAAGCTGTGTTAAGCGACATCCTAAATTAGGCTTTAAAAAAGTGCGTCCTTTTAACTTGTAAATCAAAACAGTGTAGTTAATTATAACAAATAAATCATATGTCACAATTGAATATGGTTCAAATCTTAGTGTAATGAATGTGTCAAGCGAGAAAAAATACTATTTTTGGAGAAGCCAGCTTCAAAGTAACTTGCTTTTGCCATGTGACACTTGTTTCCGTAAGTTGTTCATGATTACTGGTTACATTTGACATGTAATGAATTTCTAATAAAAGATTGATTACCGGTAATTTTACATACTGCTCCAAGTAGTATCAAGAATGCACGACTCATTTCATAATGATAGAAAGTAATATTATCAGTAATTTGAACAACAGTGAGTAGGTGTACTACAAAAGGTTTCAGTTTTTGGCTCAAAAGGGTTATGACGTTGTTCCGGTATTTAAAACGCATCTGAATGATTAGTACACTGCACTTGATATGCTTGCTTGTGCTGAACTGTTGTGATGTTTGAATGAACCAATGATTTCTTTGTATCGGTGACTGTTTTAATTTTTAATTCCAAATACAGTACATTCGTTCGTGCTCATCTAATACTTTTGATTAAATTGCGTTATTCTTGGGATTACTAGTTCATGCTATAATTCAAATACTTTTAATTATTACACCTGTCTCATCCCAGCTGTAATAGTTAAGGATGCTGAAACCTAGCTAATCCGTGTATAGTTCACAAGAATTTATGGGTGAAGACGTTGACATCCTTGACGTCATCTCAATTATCTGCACATTGGTGGTCACACACAAATACATTGGTGTCCATATGCACATCAGCGCATTAAAATAAGTGTAGATAAAACATTTATAGATTACGACTAATGTAGAAAGTAAGGGTCTAGAACAGAACTAGACATATACCGTAATAGTTGATTGTCCATAAATATCAAGAATATTCTCATAAAGCAATGGCTTCAAACTGATAGACGAAAATAGGAAACAAAATATAACGAAAACAGTGATTCACTGTAGAGTTTCTCCACTTATTTTCCTTATCTAGCCCAGTTGTCACCGTTAGTCATCCGTCCATCAAAATACATTTCTTTCAGACATTTCGGCAGAAGCGTCTGCTCTTATACTCATATTACTATCATATATATACACTTGTGTTTTAAACACTGCTCTCACAGTTTCGATGAGTAGGTAAGAGTTTCTTTGTATAATGCCTAATATTTCAGAGGCTAACGTGACAGCTAAACTATGCCCAGGACAGACTCACATAAAATAGCCGGTAGTAACGCATGGAAAGCAATTTTAAAGTAACGATTTCTTTTATAACCGATAGATGGAGACCACCGGTTTCGATATGATGCATTGTGGTGTTTGTATGAACTAATTATCCGTTTGTACTTGATGTAAGCCTGACTTCAATTTGTAAATACAACACGTTCGTTAGTGCTCAGTTAGTTCTATTTGGTTTAAATCGCGCTATCTATGAGATTCATGGCTAGTATAATAATTGAACTGCTAATTTGCACATTGGTGTCTCTATAGAGCCTGTGATGGAACAGTTGGATATACATTCGAATTTTGATGCTTTTGAGGATTATAGTGAAAGACTCAAAATCTGGACTATGACCAAGAGAGATTTTGATGACGTTAATATTGTGGATCATTTCCTTACATTCAAAGGAAAGGAAGCCTACAGCTTACTTAAAACTTTGGCATTTCTAGAAATGCCTACTTTATTTCCTTATTCAACTCTCAAAGAACTATTACCAGACCATGTAAAGTGTGCAAGTTTCGAATGTTGTAAAGGAGGAAATTCGTCAGGAGGTCAAGGATTCCACTACATTACTACGTCATCTAAATCCAATGCGTATTCAAGGTTATGCGGATAACAATTCACTGATAAGTTAGGAAGCAAGTAATGGATATGAGCACAAGTTTGGTAAATGTTTGTCCTGGGGCAAAATTCACTCATGTAATTCAGGTGCGTTTCGTAATGCTAAATGTTTTAAATGTGGTAAGATTTGACATACTCAATCAGTTTGCTACAATTAGTACTAAACATTAAATTCAACTTAGTATTGTTTATCTGAATCTTCTCATCGATTTGTTAGGACTGCAACTGGTCAGTCTCTAATTGGCATATGTGCATACTGTGCGTATTGCCTCAATTCACAAGCATGGTAAGCAGAGATGGATAGTGGCTAGAAGTGGAATCCAGGACGCGCGTTTCGTCCTATTTGAGACTTGTAAGCTGGATGTAGCTGCATCTCAGAGTTGATGTTCACTCTGGGACTCGAACCCAGTACCCTCGTTTCAAACGCCATCGCGTTATCCACTCGGCCACTGAGTCCTGATAGCCACTTGCTTGTGTGATGGGGTGAAGTTTAAATTCAACTTAGTATTGTTTGTTTGAATCTTCCCATCAACTCTAAGACCAGGTGCATCCAGCTGACGAGTCCCAAATAGGACGAAACGCGCGTCCTGGATTCCACTGCTAGCCACTATCCAGTACTAAACATTGTTATTCCGATCCTGTCAAGTTGAATGTTTCAACTAAACCGTTTCACGATCAGATCCATGATAATATTTTTCCACATATGCGTCTTTCCCATTATTCATTTATTTCTAATGAAATTATCTACAAATATGTAGAAAATATATCGGGTGCACCAGATGATGTTATTTTATTATATGTGGTTTGTCCTGATGATTCATTTATTTCTAGTGAAATATTAATTAACTGTGAGAAACAGGTCCTGAGTGAGCTAAAATTTAATTACAGTCCTTAAGGTGTCACATCATATGTTATTTGTCCTCGCAATGAATTTATCTATAGTAATATTCTTAATAAAAGAGACGAATATGTTCCAAATAAGTCGAATTCTTGTCATATTTCTGATGTTATTGTACCAGGTGGTGAATATCTTCACGACCAATGTAAGACGATTAGAATCCTTAGTCAGTGATATGAAGAATCGGAGGAAATAGCAGTATTTCCCAGAACAGTCAGAAAGTTAGTTTGTCCAGACATGAGGTTCAAACAGTCGGGAAATTCAAATGGAATCCATGATTAACCTAATGAACATTAGGCAGATGTATATTTCCCATTTGATTGTTTTGAAGATGAATCACATGTGTTAATTACAAATATCAATGCATCATTATCTGTAACTGGAACATAGTCCTAGTGTATTCTAACGTGAAAAGCAAAAATAATATGTATCAACTTTTTTAAGTAATTCAAAGTCACATGATGGAATGTCTCAAATTATATGTCAGTGTGTATCCCCAAATACTCACATGTAATAGTCGAAGTGTAAGATATGGAAACGTAATGCAAATAAGAATTGTCAAAATGGTCATAACACTGAAACGTAGAGTTTCGACATTATTACGTAAAGGGAATGGTGTTGGAAAGCGTGCAGTTTTAGTTCTAGCTATCAGTAATTTTATTACACAAAAGACGTATTGTTCATATACAATTCAGGGACCTAGGTGAGTCTGTCCCCATTTCAGTTGTTAATTCCAATACTAATGCGCATATTCTAGATCATACAGAGTCTGCATCCAATACACAGTTTGACAGACAAACAATGAAGCCAAAGAGAAGACCTCCAACTGTTTACAGAAACTTAGATTCTAACTTAAGATGTGGTAGTTGTGGTTTTTTATGAACAAATCATTCTTTTGTACTTGATGTGTTCCTGACTTTAAATTCCAAATGTAATACATTTGGTTGTTCTCACGTAGTTCTATTCGGTCTACACTGAACTGTTTAGGGGATTCCTAGGAAATAAATTTGTTCAAATATTTCTAGCCATCAAATGTTCGCAGAGCCTATAAGATTGAAATTCCATTTGGCACTTCTGAGTTGCTCCCGTAAGCAGTATTATCTGAAAAATTAGACTGTCTATACTGGATTCCTTAAATAGAGTTCCGCAGCAAAGATTAAGCAGTTCAGCCGCAGTTACATCGTCTTTATTAGATATATGTCAACTTTCTGAAAACTCCAATGTTTTAGGACTCTAACTCTAGAAACGTTTTCATCTTTTGGATTTCAGAGGAAGTGCGTACATAATGCGTTTCTGATGGCGGGATTTCTGTTGATGCTTAATAATTAATACCAAAGTGGTGTCAATAGAAAAACATTGAGACCTCACCTCAAATCACTTTTGAAGCTAAAAATACACTAAACTAGAAGATTTAACTTCGGTAGTTCAATGCTTGAATAAAGAGATTGATGAACAATAAAGGTGGGTGTGTGAACAATTATGGAAAGTGGTCATGTTACCCTGGAATTCTGTATCTCATTAGTACTTAAATTGAATACATTATGTCCGAAAGTTTGCCCGTACTCTTCAAAGGATCATGTGAACACCACCATTGACTGATTCAGTTGGACCGGTCATCATAGAAAGTTGTGACCTCGATGAAATATTTTCAAGATTAGGCAAACAAATCATGGCAATTTGAGATTAATTTTATTATTCTAGTAACAAAGATTAGTGCGCTTCTACCAGTGATAGACCTGAACCCCACGTCCTCTGCTCATGATATTTTTGTTGTTATATGCAGGCCATTGAAACGCACTAGCACAGAAGCAACAACACGGGTTCCAAGTTTTAATTAAAACCCTCTACTTTGACTTCATTTTGATGATACTGACAGATAACATATGGATTGGTTTATGTGTCGTCAATCCTAAATGATCTGTAAAGTTTCCCATAACAGCTTGTGGCCATCAATAATTACCAACACTTACCCATACCACAACATCAAGTAGCCGATGTCACGTGCTAAACGTGTCTGCGCAATAATAACAATATGTCACAATATCTGAATCTTATCCAATGCTTGTTTCGTTTACCGAAATTCAAAAACTGTGATAACGGTTCTGCGAAAATGTGACGTGGGGAATCATATATTTGACACCATGCTTTCACATTGTTAGGATGAGATTGTATGAGCTTGGACTGGATATTCCTCTATAACATCAGGTCTTTGATGGTTCTGCATATTATGTAGGCAGATAGAAATCAGCGCTACACGAAACCAAATAGTGATGTAGCTGAGGTCGCATCAGGCTGACTGGATTAATGGATTAGTATCCACCGATATTTGGTCAGCCACACCAGGTTTATACGACACTGATATATCATCTGTCATGAACACTAAATCTATTTGTGTCGAAACAGAAGGAAACAATTAAAGATGGTGTACTTTAAGATTCATGGACGTTGCCAAATATATTTTACGTCAGAATATAAAAACATGAATAAGCTGAAAGGACGTTCCTATCTATTGTGCGAAAACAAGTTTCTCACATAATGTAGCTCGACCAATCATCAAAACAAAAAGATTGTGACATCTTTTCATGTTAATTAGTGAGAGCTTAATGAAGATATTTTAAGACCATTGTAAAATTAGATAAGTTGACCGAATTGTACATCCACATATTTAAGAACCGTCATCACCCATGTGACGGCTGATCTATGAAATTAGCTTCAGATATAACAAGCAACGATAAGACAATTTAATTTGACATTACTCATAGGTACCAACCTGAGGGAAGAAGCAGTCCAGATAAACGAGAATAAATGGTAGAGAGTGAACTAGGCATGAGACGACCCAAGATAATTTTTGTGTACATTTATTTTCACATCAGCGAAATATTTGAGGAACGAATCGAACAGTCTTGTGGCTGATTGAATATAGACGTCCTTATGTAGAATGAATTATGGTGTAATTAACTATCCCTAACTGCCAAACCAGAACTGTAGACGAACGGTGCCATGGGAGTTTGTTTGTTCAACAGATACCGCAAGTTCTTTCATTGGTACAAAAATGCTGGCACAATATCAAATACAACTATCTAAAAAATGTAGAATTATGGTTTACATGTTTATTTGTACTATTATTATAATAGACCTAATCCTCGAATTTTACATGTGTCATGATGTGATAGCCTAATCCATAAGATAATACGTGGACGTCATCTCAATGTCTACACCGACTAATCGTATCATAACAATTAACAACATGTCTGGACTTTTTAAGGAACTCACTCAGGCTGGAGATAGAGCAACATATTCAATGGGAGTAAAGACAAATTATACAGAATGTTGACATTTGCAAGGCTGAGCCATGCCATGCGATGGATTGAATTAATGTTTCCACGTTCTCCATTGTTAACATTCTCTTTTTGTAGATTGTTGAGTATAAATCTTTTCAGTAATCATATACTCAGCTTCAAAAGTCATGTGGTTAGGGTCCAATGCCACTACAACACAATAATAAAAATAAATGTCTTTATTCTTTCATTGGATATTCTCGTTGACTTTGGATACCAACCACAAATTGCAGATCCCACTTGACACAATCACAAACGATATAACAATATTGTGATAATGGTGCCAGAAAACGGAATGTCAATACAACCAAAGTGATAAATGGTTCAACACCTCTTCCTTAACCGTCCATTTCGATGATAGCGTGAATATCATAGAATTTGTGGTTCAGCCGTTTTTAATGAATAACTTCTGTAAATGTTCAAAAATTAGTGGGCACTTTCACGTTCGTTTGGTGATGGTGGCTTGTCAGGGCATATTTTCAATTATCTTTGCACCGGCTATGACTTTCATCTTATTTGCTTCTTTCATTCGACAAGTCAAGATGAACTACGTTGGTTTATTCAAGAAAACGTTTATGGATCGCTGAAATGAATTTCAAAATAGAATAACGCCCTAGTACGCTGCAAGTATCATTTCAATAGAGGGTCTGAACTGACTTTAAAACCAGCAACCAAAGCAATGATGCAAAAGTTCCTGGACACAAACTGCAAATGACACTGCAGTAGTTCGAAAGTATTCTAACAAATTTAAGACGTCACTCGCAATAACTGCTCACATCTTGATTACCAAAAGTATGAATGATTGAGCTCAATAGAAGAAGGCCGTTTGATGGAAATGAAGTGCAATCAGAAGACAGGGATCGATGAGTTTTGAATATTTTTGATACGTTGTCTATCTAATGAGAAGCATTTCATTTAAGTTGATCAGTAGTTGCAAGGGATGTGCAGAACGTCGTACTCAATAGTGATCTAGTGCGGGAGCGTGACCGATTGCTTGTGGCTGTGTATCCAATAAAAGCTCTGAACTCAGGGTCGATGTCGAGGACATACATAACTACTTACTTTGGATATTTATTTAGCGACAACTTCATGCTTGTTCCTCGTCTGACTTTTTTTTAAAACTGTAGAAAAAATGGCAGTCTCTGAAAGTCTTATAAAACTTCTTGATTTTAATTTGTACGTAAATAGACATATAAGAAGTACAGAAGGTTGTTCAGGCTGAAGAGCGCAATTTCAAAGAGAACATAAGGAGGTTTATCATAAGGAAAAATAAACGTTTTGTGTCAGAAATCCCAACTCTTACAACGCATATAAAAGATGACATTGTGACGGACCAAAATGTATACTAGGTGAAAAATAGCAATAAATTTATTACGTCGAAATGTTAATGTTATAATATGTCAATTATAAGATATAAAGACAAACAAAATTAAGGGACATTACTTAACTTGACAGGTTGTGCTTGTCCGATTTGCGTTTGATACCAGAATCCACAATTAAAGGTAATTGATAGTCCCAGTGACGTTTTTATGGTTTCAGTAATATTGCCAGACGTAGAATGTAATGGAAAATTGGCTGCAGTCTACAAATGTAGGTTGAATATATTTCAGAGTTCAATTATCATCATCATTATCACTATCACTTGAGAACGAGAGATATGCGCATAGTAATGTATTTACGAACAGTCAACAACGTGTGTCATGCTGAGTGTTACACAACGGAAGAAAGTGTATTCAAAGTCAAACACTTAAATGTGTGAAATTGTTCGTGGTAAATATAAAGACTGCGAAAATTAACAAAATAAATGCAAATAATATCATAAACTATTTACAAAATAAGTTTGTCGTGTCTACCTCTACAGTATAATTGCATCTATTTCTATCATTTGAGAGATCACATCCAAGTCAGGTGAATAATTTGCTTAAAAATGAATAAAGTACGCGAAAAATCTGTTATCAACAAACCAAGAACTCAGGTGTTAATATGTCTTATCTTTTTGCTCACTCCAGCACTAATAATTTTCGAGGTCATAGCAAGTAGGTTCACAAACTGTGATCTAATAAACTAAAGGTGGGGTCCCGTTTTTCTCATCGAGTGGTCACTGACTGGAACTCATTACCCAAAAAAGTGGTATCAGCCCCATGAGTGAACATTTTCAAGGAGAAGATGAACATTCACTGGAAGGCGATCTGTCAGGATTAACACAGGTTCATTAACCTACTATCCTGATTACTGAAGACTGAAGATAGTCTGATAGTTATTGAGCATTGGATGTCCTTTGCTCTTTATAGCTCAATTTTTTGAATGTTAGAAGGTGATATCGTAAGGAAGGCTTATTAACTCAAGTGATGCCACTTAATGCTGAATACGCAAGAGAACTAAGGGCAGTGTTCAAGATTCTAGAATTTTCAATTGGTGTTGGTCTAGTAGTATCAATAGTTGTTGCTGATCGCTATCGGATTACTGTAGCTGGTGCATTTATAACATTTTTTGCACTAATAGGGGTACTCACATCTCTATTTTTCTTCGTTGTTCACCTATCTAGCCTTATTTACAAGATTCCAGGACCTGTAACATTAATTGTAAGTTGCTTTTCAACTTTACACATGTCAGTAAATCTGCCTTCATTTCTTTTATTATTTCATTAAAATGTTAAAAGTCTAGATATTCAAATGTCATAGCAAGTACATAATATTACAACTGAGTGTTTTTAGAATGTAGGCTGAGGGGTTTTTGCTATTTTATTTCTTAACGAGACTCTGTAATTAGATTTATATGTCAGGTTTTAAAACAAACTGATAATTTAGGTGCTGTGACACGCAGCATATGCATTTATTGACGTTTTAGTTGCTTGATACCAGTTGTAATTTACTTCGAAGCTGAAATGTTCGAGTAAGTACGACATGTACTTCATAGAGGTTTGCTTTGTGAGATTCATTGGGTAGATATCGTCCTAAAATATCTCCGAGCAGAATATTTCACAAAATTGGCCCTCAATACTGCATCAGATTGCCTTCAAGCATTTTACTTTCAAGTCGGTGACCCGTTTAGTTTTAATCGGTTACAATGATTCTTACCAAAACGTGAAACATGTCTATTTCAATCATCTCAACAAGCTGATCTATCCCTCATGAAAACACACACAAAATTTGTTGTCACTGGTTATTGGGCTCATTGATATCAGTCGTTGTGGTCTGCGTGTGAAGTTTGCTAATCAGTCAGCAAAAAATTTGTCCTTAATTTTTAAACATATTCTGTTGAGTTGTCGCAAACTAGCTGTTTTAGAACATTTATACAAGTAAAACAAATAAAAGCAAAATTGACTTTTGAGGGCTTTAATACGAATAAAGTAGTGTTTGATCAAGCCATGTGCATTTATTTTATCTCACTCCCGAGTTTTATCGAAATCGAACATAACATTTCAATAGGCAAAATCAATCAACATTCTTCTAAACTAATCTCAGACATTGATGCTTTTTAGTAAATTAGTTTATTTAATTTAATATTAGTAGAAACCTACTTCGTACTTTATGTTAATTAGTTTTTAAGTTGATCTGATTTGATTACTGAAATTCTCATCCAACTAATATTCACCATTTTTGCTGTAATTTGCAAAAATTAGATTCTCAAGATTTATCTGAACAACAACTTTCAGAAGTGTATATTTGTTTCTTTATAATCCTTTAAACTACTCGTGTATGTTTTAAAATTTTTCTGAGAATACCACACTTAATTTTTCAGCCTATAACATAAAGTGATGATGTTTTAATTAAGTCGACAGGGGTATATTAAACCTGATACTCTGTGTATTGCAAAACGGGCTGTAACGCCGTGACCAAATAATGTATGACAACATAAGTGCGTTTAGTAAACGTTTCAATCACCTTAGTCTGATAAAACTTTGTACCAATTAAAAGTAATCACAATTATAGAAAGAATAAAACTTAAATATGCAATATAAAACAAACTTGATACTATGAAAGAGTACTTTTTAAAACCGCAATTGAATAACTCATTCCAAGGTTATGATTTAAATAACATCAGCCCAATGTTAAAATAGATCGGGAAAACAGTTGAGCTTGAGATTAAGAGAATGTATTCTTCAGATATTCTTCTTCTTCCACTAGATTAATACTACCAGTAACAGTGAGGTCATGCACAAGACGTTAGTTAGAGGCTTTTATTAAATTAGTACACTTCTAGACTTTGATTACGGCACTTCATTTCTTATATCTGGTCACAACTAACTCACATAAGAAATACTGTCACGGGAGTCGGCGCAGAGGAGCCTTAAACAAGGAATCTGTGTCTAAGATTACTGTTTGTCTTAGTGCCCTGAATAGTGAATCAGGGTTCACAGGAAAATCGCGATCGATGTCTGAACATATTGGATGTTTTGTTTTACAACTGACCTCAACGGCTTACCTGGATTTATTATTGTTTTACATTAAATATCGGGATTATAAATGAGACATTTTTCATACTGTGTTTTTGTTTGTATTATTTGAACCCCCACTCTTGTGTTTGGATCCTGCCTGCAGCTGAATGCTGTCGTTATTCTCTATGAATAAGTGTAGAATGACGTGACCATGTAACTATGATGAGCAACAGTGTATAGTAAAGTAATAGTATCAGAACATATGGCACAGGGAGATGAAGCTAAACTTTTTTTGACGCACTGTTTATTGTAAGCTATACTTTTTGTGTGCGATTTCCCGGTGACATTGAAGTAATTATTTCCAAACTGGTGTCTCACATCTTCTTTGTTGCCTCTGTCAAAAATAGTGTGCATATTTAGACTGGTGCACATTTGTGTAGCATCCTAACTTCTTTACAACTGACTTGGCTACAAGGATGATACAACTTTTATGTCTCATCACCTTTGGTTTTTTTGGTTTGACTGGATACACATGTATTCGGTATGCTTTGTAAAATTTTAAGATTGTTAATCTAATTTTTACAACACAGTGCGATTGCTTTCTACATCCTAATATCACAGTCAGTCATAAATAAAAGGAACTGTAGAACAAATGCACATCGATTCAAGTTGCAACCCCATATCAAACTGTACTGGCTGGACTAATGGTTTCTTTAAGTAATAGCATATTGGGCGTGTATTCGAGAGAAAGGTCAAACTTAAGACAGCATTCATGTAGCCTGAGTCTGACGAAGTACAATTATACATGCAGAATTACTTTGGGTGTAAATTTTTTTGATCAGATTACTATTATCTGCAGCTTTCTTACAAAGGAAAGAAGAGATTAGAATAGGCCAGCCTAAGCGATTAAACAACTCATCATGACCCACAAATTTCTATCTTCACTGGTAAGGTTTTGAAACGGCAGAACCAACAAACGAATAGCTACACACCAAATGACAGTGTGTGATAATCTTTAGGCTATAATCTCTTAAGTACTTTAGTCACGCTTTCAGATTTGCATGACCATTTCCAATTGTGTTCCTTCTCCGGGTCCCTCAGAAGTATATGCATATACAACAGGATGGTCTAACCAGTTGCAGGCGTTAGATAGGCAAATACAAAAAGCTTTTTTATAATTCTAGTCGTCGTTCTTATTTGAATTAATTTCTGTCTTGATCTAAAGCCTATCAATTTTATTTCATCCAATGAGTTATCAAATTTAGTTTTGTAAGCAGCTATTGAATTTAGATACACGGAATGACACAATAACAAATATGTTTGTATATAATCAGATGTCTTTAGGGAATATGTACCAAGTTACCAACACACACAAACAAATTGGAAACTAATCACCACTAAGATATCAATTAATATAAACATGAAAACTTCGTAGAATGTCATTCGCATCCTCGAACGCTTCAAGGTCTCTTTTCCATCTGTACAACTGAACTTGATTACGCAGAGAACATTGGTTCCCAAAAAATTCCACAAAAACCTAATGATCACCAACCAGTATCAAACTAAAATTAGGAATTACCTATTGTTTACTACCAACTATTTAAAATAATCCACTCAGTAAAAATATAGACATTTTATAAAATTATTTATCAATTCTGTTTTACAGGCATAGAAACAATAAATTTCAGCCAGTTTTATTGTGTCTACTTATAGTCTTTGTATGCATAAATTATATTTTAATGCATAAACAACATGTCTGTTGTAACTCTAGATTTTTAAATCTTGTTGGTATTCTATACATCCTGCATTAGTACATCCATACTATAATTCCTGTTCATCCAGAAGGATAACACTTTCATTATTTCTAAGAAAAAGTTTGAATAAAAACAAATGGTTTTTGATCAGCATTCTTTCAGATTCTGCTGTTCACACAACGAACTGATTCTGAGTACACAGTTACTAGGAACCAGAAAACTCCATATGTCTGTCTCATCCTAGTATGGGACCCAATAGTAAGTATCCATGACCCCACTGGCCATCATACACAGAATTTACAAGTCTTTCTGCGAGCGCTTAACATTTAGATTATTGAGTCTACATTCAACAGTATATATGCATGGCTTCAATTATTTCTTAATCGTTTGATATTCTACTGAATATTTTCCTTAATGATTGTATTGAGTGACTATGTAACTGGTTTCGGAGATAAAATAATTTAACTAGAGTATCAGTTTAATGTTAACAATAATACGTAAGTAAATAATAGACATTGTTAGTTTGAATTTAAGTTACACAAATTGCTAAGTTGTACTTACTGTTTAATTAATTTTATTTACATCTAAAATGTACCCTTTCTTTACTATCTTTTTCTTTTTAATTAAGCGATTGATTAATTCAAATGGTTTATAAATTTGAAGCCGACTGTTTGAAGTTCTTAAACTAGGGAAAACATAATATTACATCGAACTGCTTGCCTTTATCACTCATATATAGTTTAAATAATAGTTCTAATTAATAAAATAATAAAATTCATATGTACTCTGAACGATTATCAAGTAGTACTATTGGCGATATGGTCATTGACTTTAACAAGTCTATATATCATGTACTCTATTTTGATTTTAATTCGTAGTTAGAGAAAGTTGAGAGAATCTATAGAAGCCTAGATTTTTTGGCACTTCCTAATAAGCTTTTTCGGCATTCTTGTAAGACCTGACGCTTCATGTAAAATTCAAACTCGTATCATTCAATTTCACAGTGAGTAATATGTTCACTTAGTTTCTCCGATTGTAGCTGGCAGACTTAAGGTCTGGTTAAGTTATCATCGTCAATAACATTGATGGTTACACTTATAACTTTTCATACCGTTGTATCCACTAGTTTCATTACTTCATAAGTATATTATCTTTAAAACTTTTAAAAGTAACTCCATTAGGATAATCAGTAAGCAGCTTCTCATTCAAATACGTTGTAAACATGGGTCATTTGATCAAAACAGTCTGAACATTCAAAAAAACTGATAAACACAATCAATTTCGATCTTATCAGCATTACTTAGCGTTTACTATCCATTTTAAAAAAGTATAACTATGCATACAAGACTTATGCCACCATTTTCTTTAGACATATAATCTTAATCTTTACTTGTTCGAACCCCTTACAATCTCTTTTGTCTCGTTCTCTATTGACATTTCAGGACTAACC